CAGAGAACAAAAACAATAATTTAAACGACTAAGCAATACACAGAAAACAAAGACAATAATCAGGCACCAAAAGGTTGTAGAACTGAGATTTATGAGATGCCAAATGTAAGAGAATATGTAAATCAAAAGCAAAAGCTAATAACTCCAGAACTTTGAGGAGGAGCAGTGGAGCTGTTAATGACTAAATCAGCTAAAGTTCCAATCGACTGGGAGAGGTTCTAAAAATTTCTCTTTCAAGTTTTTAAGATAGAAATTGAGGATACGGTGGTAGCAGATTTTTCCCGATAAAAGTGCATTCAGTGCAGAGCAAAGCGAATAATAATTATGTTTAATCAAGGAACAGGTGCTTCACAAAGCTTCGACCCCTGAAGTTTCTAAGAGCTCCTTTTCTAAAGTTCAAGCTTGACCCAAAAGCTTTGGAACAGCACTACGGTAGATAAAAAGAAGAATCCTTAATTTGCTTCCTTCTTTTCTAATGCAGAAATTAGGTACGATTATGATTTATGCCGGTACCCATCAAAAAGGTACAATACGTGTAAGAAAAATGCTCTTGAATGAAGTATCATATGCAAAGTATAAAATTTTTGAACAAACATGCGAGAGCAAGGAGAGATCAGAAATGGTCTAAGAGACCTAGTAAGCATCTTGCAGTCGTTTCATTGCGAAATAGTGACACGTAGACCTGCCAAGGAGAGACCCTTCGGCAACCAATGGCACATCAATCCGTGAGAAAGTTCTTATTAAGGTTTGGCATCACAGCTTTCCCTCATAATGACAGCCAGCGAGGTAAGTAAATTGTGAAAGATGTGTTGTATCAACTTAGATCACATAAATATCCCAAAGAACAGATTATTCCCATAAATTCCAAGTATCATCTATAAATTCCAAATAGTCGAAGGGTCAATCCACCGGCTTTACGCCAATTCTTCCCTTCTGCACGTCGACGCTCACTATGACAAACATCAAGCTAGATCCTACTTCAGGAAAAGGTTGTCGGAGATAGCTGCGATGGGCAAGAGCACTCTTCTCCGCGCCAATGTCGACAAAGACTCCGAATTCCACTTGATTCGCTACTCGTCCAACAACTTGTTCGCCCACTTTGAAAGAATTGATCTTTCGAATTTCGACCTAAAATTTGAGATTCCACATCCTTGAAGATCTCTTGTCTGTCAAATGCAGAAATCAATGCAAAAGCTGTTAGAATGAAGATTTGAGAGAAAACGATTATACGAATTTTTCAAAAATTGTTCGAACAGATAACAATATCCCTCACCATGAGTTCAGGAGGCGGTAACGTTTTGATTTCCGTACAAAATAGATCACGTACGGCTGATTCTTCAGCTGTCAGATTGGTAAGATTTTGCAGTTTGTTGGCTAAGCCTTGATAAGGTAAATCATGCGGCGTCAAACCTATCCGCGATAACAAACTGAAGAAAAATTTGTAATCTTTATAACGAGACAAGAGAAACATGCCAACCTTCTTGCAGTTGAGTACTGAGATGGATGAATTATAGTTTTGTCCAGCGGTTCACTTGAAACCTTCCTCTTCTTTTTTTTCGGACCATCAAAGTCAGAGCCATTTACACTGTCTTGGCTAACGATGAGAAAACCTGCAGATGACTTTTGTGATAAAGACTGGCTAATGACTCCTTTTTTCAACAGGTTTAGCCTTCCGCGGTCGCATGAGAGTTCACTTGTTGCGTGTTACCCCCACAGAAATATAGAAGTTATGGGACTAGTTAAAGATACCGTAATCAACCATGACAAAGAAGTATTGGATGATTCAAGTAATACAGGTTGATTCTGGACTTTCTAAGACGGAAGCTAGGCGGTAAAAGTCATGAACTCGTAAGATGGCCGCGACAAGCTGTTGACAGCCAACGCATAAGCGCA